GGGTCCCAGCTGACCCTTTACAAAGCTCCCTCCAGCTGCTGTGGGGGAGAATGGGCTAGAAGTAAGGAGTGGGAAGTCCTTGCAGGCATCGAGGGTGGCGGGGTGGCGATGAGGGTGAAGGTGGGGTCCGGGATGCTCTTTTGTGTGGATCCGATAGGTCAAGGGTGACTCTTGGGATTTTGGCTTCAGAGATTGGTGATGGTGAGGTGGTTTCCTGAGCTGGGGGAGGCAGGGGAGGAACAGGGTGTTTTGGAGGGTGGGGCTGGGGAACCAGGAGTTTCACTTTGGACGTGGTAGTGTTCAAAGAGTCTATTAATCACCCAAGGGGGAGACATCAAATAGGCAGATGGATATTTGGGGCTGAAGTTCAGTGGAGGGTCTGGGCAGGAGCTGGAAGTTGTAAGTTTTCAGGATAGAGGATGGACTGGTGGGGCTTCCGCCCTCGAGAGCTCACGGGGTGACATGAGGCGGCTAATGTGAGGGTGCAGTGCTGGCAAATGCTGGTGTTGGAGGAGTAGGTTGTGATTTCCAACCTACTGTGCTTTGAGAATAATAATATTACTCAGGCCTCAAAACAACCCAGTGAAGAGTTAGACGTTATTACTCCCGTTTTATAGATGACAAAACTGAGCCCTGAGAGAAATGACTCAGTTAAAAAGGACTGCCATTTACGGAGGACCACTTCAGTGAACCGGGGATCAGACTAAACGTTCTACACCTGTTTCTCATTTAATTCTTTAACAGCTCCATGAGGTAAGAATTATTGAGGTGTCACCTGAGGAAGTTGAGGCTTAAAGAGGGTAAGGAACTGCCCATGGTCTCACGGTGTGTCAGGGACAGAGTCAGGTGTCTGGCCATCTCCAGGGCGCAGGTGGTTCCAGGACACCGTGCATTGTCACGCTATACAGTAAGGCCCAGAGAGACAGCTGGCTTCCTCCAAGTCACACAGCAAGAAGCAGGCACGGGAATTCCCTGGCGGTCCAGTCGTTAAGACTACGCACTTTCACTGCCAAGAGCCCGGGTTCAATCCCTGGTGGGGAACTAAGATCCCCAAAGATCCCACAAAACAAAAACAAACAAACAAAAAAGAAAAAAAAAAAAGCAGGCACGATGGCCAGGACTCTAACCCTCACGATTCTCAGCTGGAAGGGATCCTTGCACACCTAGGTGACCCCACCCAGTGTGGGAACTCCCTCTGCACCATTCTGGGGGTGCAGTTTCACCCAGATGGCCCCCAGGACGGTGCTCACTGCCTCCCTCCCTAGGCAGCCCCTTCTACAGTCGATTGCAAGTAACTTACAGGGTCCCCAGACCCCATCCCTTCCCCACTCTGGACGTCACTCTAGGCTGTCCACGTCTTCGCAGCACGCAGTGTCCAGAACCGGTCAAAATTTGCCGTATCAGGGACGGCAAGTGAGTGTCGATGTGCATGTCGACACCGTCCCCACTGGGGCTGCGGGAGTGTAGCGTGTGAGTGTGAGGCCAGTCATGGGGGAGAGGGGAGTCGGCCCTGTGCGCTGGAGTGAGGCAGCGCACCTGCACGGCTCTGGGGCCCCAGCGGCCTCTAGTTCCTGCTCAAGGCTGCCTTCTCCCCACCAGGTGGAACCAAGCCCAGTGGGTGATTACACTGCAGTTCACCCATATGAACCCATATGTGTCATATGAACCGTGTGTCTCAGTCTTTCTGCCCCCAGTCTGTGGCCAAGATCCCACCTGTGGCAAAGCACAGCCAGTCTGCCCCCAAACACCACCAGTCCTAAGGGTTACCTTATTCATTCACGGAAAATTCATGGATTGCCCGTTCTATGCCTGCACTGGGGCAGGGGAGTGAAGAGAATATAGCGATGAGCAAGAATTTCTCTCCCCCCTTCTCGGTTTTAATGGGCTGTGCTAGCTCTTCTCACGGGTTTGGGACAGAGTAGATGATCCACTACGGGGGGCGGGGGGCCCTGCGGAGCGCTGGCATCCCTCCGCCTACTCCAATTTCTCCACCCTGTCTCCGTCCTAACACGCCCCCAAGTGGCTTCAGCTGGTGTGCCGATTCAGCTGGCTCTAGGTTGTGGAGAAATGGCGCCTTCTACTGGCTAACCCCAGTCTTTTTTTTTTTTTTTTTTTTTTTGGCTGCGTTGGGTCTTCGTTGCTGTGCGCGGGCTTTCTCTAGTTGTGGCGATAGGGGACTACTCTGTTGCGGTGCGCGGGCTTCTCATTGCGGTGGCTTCTTTTGTTGCGGAGCTCGGGCTGTAGGCGCGCGGGCTTCAGTAGTTGCGGCATGCGGGCTCAGTACTTCTGACTCATGGGCTTAGTTGCTCCGCGGCATGTGGGATCTTCCCCAACCAGGGTTCGAACCCGTTCTCCTGCATTGGCAGGCAGAGTCTTATCTACTGCGCCACCAGGGAAGTCCCTAACCCCAGTCTTGAGGCAGCTCACTGTTCACCCAGAATCTTCTCTCTTTCTCTCCTTCTTGAATTCCTTTGGTCAACCAGCGTTTGGGGATCACCCACCACGCCCAGGCACCTTTCTGCATGAGGGTTACAGTGAGGAATTAGGCAAACAAATCTGTGCCCTCGTGGAGCTGGCACCAACCCTTTTTGAGGAGACAGACAGGAAGCTGCTATTGCTATGAGGGAAGGAAAAGAACGTATTGTAAGAGAGCGACGGGGGGCGGGGGGGGGGCGGAAATCTCCGTGTCAGAGCAGGTGGCCAGAGGAAGCCTCTCTGAGGAAGGGGCATTTGATAACGGCTTAAATGATGATGAGGGGCCAGTCATGTGCAGATCAAGAGCAGCGGGGGGCGGGGGGGGGGAATAGCACGTGCAAAGGCCCTGAGGTGGGGATTTCTTTCTGGGTTCAGTGGCAGGAGGGAGACCAGTGTGGCTGGATGAGTTAGGGAGTGAGAGAGTCGTGGGAGGTGAGGAAGGCCAGGTCGTGCAGGGCCATGGCAAGGAGCTGGATGTACAATCGCTATTACAAATTTGATGAAAAGGGACTTCCCTGGTGGTCCAGTGGTTAGGACTCCACGCTTTCACTGCCAGGGCCCAGGTTCAGTCCCTGGTCGGGGAGCTGAGATCCTGCAAGCCACCTCACAGCCAGAAAAACAAGAAGAAGAAAACAAAATTATAAAACAAGATTAGGTATGGGGGTCTTGGAAGAGTCCAGCGTAAGTGGCAGGCCTTGAAGCCCCGGCTTCACTCACTGCCCAGGGTCAATCCAAGTGCGGAAGAGAAATAGCCAGGGAGGCCTTCTTGGGTGGGTGGGGAGGGTCTCAAAGGGAAGGCAGAGTGGATGCAGTTTCAAAGGATATAGCGTAGGATGTCAAACTCCTTAAACTGTATTCTTAGATGATTGGCAGCTAGAGTGATAAAGCTGAGAGGTCAGGGAGCATCTGGGGACTCTGTGCACTTGCTAAAGCACACGGAGAAAGCAGAGGCCTTTGCAGGTGGACAGGGAACAGCCTGGAACTCTTGCAAGACGAGTGGTTGGAAAAGCAGGGATGCTGGGCATAAGTGACTGCTCAACCAGGCGAGGGGGCGTGGGACACCTGGGTATTTATTCCTTTATTTGGACAAGGTAAATGTTCAAAATTCAAGAGGTACAGAAGGGTTTATAGCCTTGCCAGTTTCTGGTATCGTTTTTTAAGTATAATCTATGCATACCCAAGCAGGTACCAGGGTATAATTTTTTTTTTTAACACAAACAGTAGCACATCATACCCACTGTTTTTCCTCTTGAGCTCTCCATTCTACAGGACATCTTGAAGATTGTTCCATGTCAGGACAAAGAGTGTCCTTGATCTTTTTGATGAACACATAATATTCTGTCATGAAGATCTACCCTAATTCATTCACCCATCCCCCACCGCTACACATTCAGCTTGTTTCCACTCTTTTGCTAAAACACTGCTTGCTACTGGGAGTATCCTTCTAGTGAGGACATTCTGCACAAGTGCAAGTATATCCCTAAGATAAATTCCTAGAAGTGGAGTGGCTGAGTCAAAGGATATGTGTACTGGTAATTTTTTTTTTTTTTTTTTTTTTTTTTTCTTGCGTTATGCGGGCCTCTCACTGTTGTGGCCTCTCCCATTTGCGGAGCACAGGCTCTGGACGTGCAGGCTCAGTGGCCATGGCTCACGGGCCCAGCCGCTCCGCGGCATGTGGGATCTTCCCGAAACGGGGCACGAACCCGCGTCTCCTGCATCGGCAGGCGGACTCTCAAGCACTGCGCCACCAGGGAAGCCCTGTACTGGTAATTTAATAGACGTTGCCGGATTACCCTCTCACCAGCGACGTGCAAGAATTTTTGTTTCCCCTCACACCCCAACATAGTGTGTCATGCACTGTAATTAGGGAAAAATAGTATCTCAGTGCAGCTGTAGTGCGTCTGTCTCCAAATTTCCCCGTATTATATGGACACTAGTCGTACCGGATTAGGTCCCACCCTAATATGACCTCATTTTAACGTGATCATCTGCAAAGACTCTATCTCCAAATGACGTCACACTCTGGGGTCCTAGGGGATGGTTATGATTCCAACATATCTTTTTTTTTTGGTGGTGGGTGGGGCGGAACACAATTCAACTCATAAGAGTGCCAGAGAGTTTTCCAAAGTCTCTGTACCAATTTAATCAGCCACTAGGGGCTGGAGTATTTTAAAGCTATTCCCAGACATGATGTAATTTGCCTTGGGAGTGTTTTAAAAGGAAGACTTGGTCTGATTTACATTTTTAAACGATCCTATTTGTTCTGTGGGAATATAGGACAAGGCAAATATTTCATTAAGAAAGAAAAGGTAAATAAAGAGCGAGCCCTCCTGTGATGACCCATGTAGGATGCTCCGGCGTCCTGGATGCCCTTAGCTCAGGGCTGCACCCAGTGACCCATGCTCCATCCCTCTATGCCTTAAGCCAGCCTGCCCTGTGGCGCACCCCTCGGGGCTCAGGCGATGCAGAGGGAAGAGCCGGGCCAGGACTCACGCTGTCGTTCTGTCCACCCCTCTCCCTGCCAGGACATCCAGCAGCTCCTCCAGCTCCAGCAGCTGGTGCTTGTGCCGGGACACCACCTCCAGCCACCTGCTCAGTTCCTGCTGCCGCAGGCCCAGCAGAGTCAGCCAGGTAAGGCCCTCACCCTGGATGCCCTCCCCAACGCCTCCACAGAACTCTCTCTGCCCCCCTCACCCCGTGCGATCCCTCTTGTCCCCCCCAGGCCTGCTTCCGACGCCAAATCTATTCCAGCTACCTCAGCAAACCCAGGGAGCTCTTCTGACCTCCCAGCCCCGGGCAGGGCTGCCCACACAGGTGAGTGGTCCACTGAGTGCGTCAGGCTGTGGCCAGATGGCGTGGACTGGTGGTGAGTGAGGGTCTCCTCTCCATTTGCCCCCCCCCGACCCCGCCACCAGCCACAGGGGCCAAGATAGGAGTCAGGAGCCCTGGGGCCCAGCGCAGCTCTGCTACTAATTTGCTGTGGGACCCCAGGCAAGCCACTTTCCCTGTCTGAGTCAGCTTCCTCCTCCACGGAATGAGGGGTCAGCCAGACCAGTGGCTCTTAACCCTTGCAGGCACATGGACTCCTTTGAGAATCTGATGGATTATTTGAATCCGACCCCCACTGCCCCAAAATGCACGTGTGCACAAACACAAAATTTCAGGGGGTTCACAGGCCTTTAGGGCATGAATGCCTCAGATCTCTTCCAGCACTCCAAATGGGGGGTGTTCCCTGAGGGTCTGTTGGGTACCAGTTCGTGTCCCCTTCCCAGACCAGAGACTGCAAACAAGGGCCCACACTCATTTAAAAATTGAGTTAGCTGTCAACAAAATTCCCGGAAAACACCAGATTCCCAGCTTCTTTTGACAAGCCAGAAGCTCTGGGAAGGCTGGATCTGCGTACACGTGGCATGAGCTCGGGCCTCTCCTAGAAGGCGTGAGTTCTTCTGGCTGCCTTGGTGTCCTCCTGCCTGGTCCCCGTGGCCTTTCTTGAAGTTTGCTGCCTGGTTTCTAAACTTTTTTTTTTTTTCTTTTTTCCTGGCCGTGCCTTGGGGCTTGAGGGAATCTTAGTTCCCCAACCAGGGATCAAACTCACGCCCCCTGCAGTAGAAGTGTGGAGTCCTAACCCCGGACCACCAGGGAATTCCCACTGGGTCCTAAACTTTAATAATAATTTTTCATGATTATGGATTTTAAAGTTCCCTCCTACCTATTTTTTAAAACAGCCCTTTTAAAAAATATATGGGGGGCTTCCCTGGTGGCGCAGTGGTTGAGTCTGCCTGCCGATGCAGGGGACACGGGTTCGTGGCCCGGTCCGGGAAGATCCCACATGCCGCAGAGCGGCTGGGCCCGTGAGCCATGGCCGCTGAGTCTGTGCGTCTGGAGCCTGTGCTCCGCAACGGGAGAGGCCCGCGTACCGCAAAAAAATAAATAAAATAAAATTTAAAAAATATATGAACTGTTTCAAAAAACCCAGAAAGTTAATTAATTAATTTATTTATTTATTTTTGGCTGCATTGGGTCTTCACTGCTGTGCACAAGGCTACTCTTAGTTGCGGTGCGCGGGCTTCTCATTGCGGTGGCTTCTCTTGTTGTGGAGCATGGGCTCTAGGCGCGCAGGCTTCAGTAGTCGTGGCACGCGGGCTCAGTAGTTGTGACTCACGGGCTTAGTTGCTCCGCGGCATGTGGGATCTTCCCGGACTAGGGCTCGAACCCGTGTCCCCTGCATTGGCAGGCGGATTCTTAACCACTGCGCCACCAGGGAAGTCCGCAAAACCTGTCTTGGCCTGATGCGAGGCGGCGTGTGACTTTTCTTTATCCCTCTTGTGTGGTACTTGTGCTTTGCTGACAGCTGTTGATATGTCCGAATATGGGGTGATGCCTTGACCCTAATGGTGGAGGTTCACATTATCTGTGATATATGCCCCATGTAGGCTTTCTAAAATCTGAAAATATTCTGAATTCCAAAACACATCTGGTCCCAGGGTTTTGGAAAACGGATCAAGGACTTGTGCGTCCAACATCCCTGTACCCACCACGTACTTAGATGTTTTATTTTTAGGGAAATGAAGCATTCCAGAGAGAACTCTTGCTTCCTTGTAAATTCCCCAAGTCACCCTCCTTGTCTATTTTTAAAAATACTTTTACTTTATTTGCACGCGTCTCCTGCATCGGCAGGCGGACTCTCAAGCACTGCGCCACCAGGGAAGCCCTGTACTGGTAATTTAATAGACGTTGCCGGATTACCCTCTCACCAGCGACGTGCAAGAATTTTTGTTTCCCCTCACACCCCAACATAGTGTGTCATGCACTGTAATTAGGGAAAAATAGTATCTCAGTGCAGCTGTAGTGCGTCTGTCTCCAAATTTCCCCGTATTATATGGACACTAGTCGTACCGGATTAGGTCCCACCCTAATATGACCTCATTTTAACGTGATCATCTGCAAAGACTCTATCTCCAAATGACGTCACACTCTGGGGTCCTAGGGGATGGTTATGATTCCAACATATCTTTTTTTTTTGGTGGTGGGTGGGGCGGAACACAATTCAACTCATAAGAGTGCCAGAGAGTTTTCCAAAGTCTCTGTACCAATTTAATCAGCCACTAGGGGCTGGAGTATTTTAAAGCTATTCCCAGACATGATGTAATTTGCCTTGGGAGTGTTTTAAAAGGAAGACTTGGTCTGATTTACATTTTTAAACGATCCTATTTGTTCTGTGGGAATATAGGACAAGGCAAATATTTCATTAAGAAAGAAAAGGTAAATAAAGAGCGAGCCCTCCTGTGATGACCCATGTAGGATGCTCCGGCGTCCTGGATGCCCTTAGCTCAGGGCTGCACCCAGTGACCCATGCTCCATCCCTCTATGCCTTAAGCCAGCCTGCCCTGTGGCGCACCCCTCGGGGCTCAGGCGATGCAGAGGGAAGAGCCGGGCCAGGACTCACGCTGTCGTTCTGTCCACCCCTCTCCCTGCCAGGACATCCAGCAGCTCCTCCAGCTCCAGCAGCTGGTGCTTGTGCCGGGACACCACCTCCAGCCACCTGCTCAGTTCCTGCTGCCGCAGGCCCAGCAGAGTCAGCCAGGTAAGGCCCTCACCCTGGATGCCCTCCCCAACGCCTCCACAGAACTCTCTCTGCCCCCCTCACCCCGTGCGATCCCTCTTGTCCCCCCCAGGCCTGCTTCCGACGCCAAATCTATTCCAGCTACCTCAGCAAACCCAGGGAGCTCTTCTGACCTCCCAGCCCCGGGCAGGGCTGCCCACACAGGTGAGTGGTCCACTGAGTGCGTCAGGCTGTGGCCAGATGGCGTGGACTGGTGGTGAGTGAGGGTCTCCTCTCCATTTGCCCCCCCCCGACCCCGCCACCAGCCACAGGGGCCAAGATAGGAGTCAGGAGCCCTGGGGCCCAGCGCAGCTCTGCTACTAATTTGCTGTGGGACCCCAGGCAAGCCACTTTCCCTGTCTGAGTCAGCTTCCTCCTCCACGGAATGAGGGGTCAGCCAGACCAGTGGCTCTTAACCCTTGCAGGCACATGGACTCCTTTGAGAATCTGATGGATTATTTGAATCCGACCCCCACTGCCCCAAAATGCACGTGTGCACAAACACAAAATTTCAGGGGGTTCACAGGCCTTTAGGGCATGAATGCCTCAGATCTCTTCCAGCACTCCAAATGGGGGGTGTTCCCTGAGGGTCTGTTGGGTACCAGTTCGTGTCCCCTTCCCAGACCAGAGACTGCAAACAAGGGCCCACACTCATTTAAAAATTGAGTTAGCTGTCAACAAAATTCCCGGAAAACACCAGATTCCCAGCTTCTTTTGACAAGCCAGAAGCTCTGGGAAGGCTGGATCTGCGTACACGTGGCATGAGCTCGGGCCTCTCCTAGAAGGCGTGAGTTCTTCTGGCTGCCTTGGTGTCCTCCTGCCTGGTCCCCGTGGCCTTTCTTGAAGTTTGCTGCCTGGTTTCTAAACTTTTTTTTTTTTTCTTTTTTCCTGGCCGTGCCTTGGGGCTTGAGGGAATCTTAGTTCCCCAACCAGGGATCAAACTCACGCCCCCTGCAGTAGAAGTGTGGAGTCCTAACCCCGGACCACCAGGGAATTCCCACTGGGTCCTAAACTTTAATAATAATTTTTCATGATTATGGATTTTAAAGTTCCCTCCTACCTATTTTTTAAAACAGCCCTTTTAAAAAATATATGGGGGGCTTCCCTGGTGGCGCAGTGGTTGAGTCTGCCTGCCGATGCAGGGGACACGGGTTCGTGGCCCGGTCCGGGAAGATCCCACATGCCGCAGAGCGGCTGGGCCCGTGAGCCATGGCCGCTGAGTCTGTGCGTCTGGAGCCTGTGCTCCGCAACGGGAGAGGCCCGCGTACCGCAAAAAAATAAATAAAATAAAATTTAAAAAATATATGAACTGTTTCAAAAAACCCAGAAAGTTAATTAATTAATTTATTTATTTATTTTTGGCTGCATTGGGTCTTCACTGCTGTGCACAAGGCTACTCTTAGTTGCGGTGCGCGGGCTTCTCATTGCGGTGGCTTCTCTTGTTGTGGAGCATGGGCTCTAGGCGCGCAGGCTTCAGTAGTCGTGGCACGCGGGCTCAGTAGTTGTGACTCACGGGCTTAGTTGCTCCGCGGCATGTGGGATCTTCCCGGACTAGGGCTCGAACCCGTGTCCCCTGCATTGGCAGGCGGATTCTTAACCACTGCGCCACCAGGGAAGTCCGCAAAACCTGTCTTGGCCTGATGCGAGGCGGCGTGTGACTTTTCTTTATCCCTCTTGTGTGGTACTTGTGCTTTGCTGACAGCTGTTGATATGTCCGAATATGGGGTGATGCCTTGACCCTAATGGTGGAGGTTCACATTATCTGTGATATATGCCCCATGTAGGCTTTCTAAAATCTGAAAATATTCTGAATTCCAAAACACATCTGGTCCCAGGGTTTTGGAAAACGGATCAAGGACTTGTGCGTCCAACATCCCTGTACCCACCACGTACTTAGATGTTTTATTTTTAGGGAAATGAAGCATTCCAGAGAGAACTCTTGCTTCCTTGTAAATTCCCCAAGTCACCCTCCTTGTCTATTTTTAAAAATACTTTTACTTTATTTGCAGCCTACTTACTTTTAACCCGATTCTCCCAACAACCCCATGGGGTAGGTAGAGTAGCCATGATTGTTCCCATTCTGCAGAGGGGGAAACTGAGGCCCAGGGAGATTAAGAAACTTGCCTGAGTTACCCAGCAATTCGGTAGCAGAGCTGATCCTTGATTCCCTGCCTGAGAGGAGGCTAAAACCACCAACCCCTCCCCCAG